GACGGCGCAGCGCGCACAAAAAGCGATGACCCAAACAAACAGATGCACCAGGCAGGTGCTTTTTACACAGACGGGGAATTCATTTATTCGTCCCCCAGACTCCAAAGTCAGACTTGATAAAGGAGTCATTGCAACTCGAACCAAGGGGTTTCTCCTCTCTAAGGAGAGCTGTGTGGGCCCGACCTCCGGGGGCTCACTGTGAAGTGGCCGAGGGTCTCCTGTGTCCCCCGCTGCTGTCCCCGCCTGCCTGCGGGGTCTGCACCCGGCGGGGCCCTCTCAGTCACTGCTCACGGCCCTTCTTTGGGGCTCACTGACCGCCCTGTTCCTCCACAGTGCAGTGAAGGAGCCCTGGGGACCCCACTGGAGGCCGCCCTGAGTGGACACTCGGCAGCAGCCGAGGGGAAACGTGGCCGTCAGGCTGGTCACAAAAAGTGGCTGCATGTGGCTGTGGCAGCGCCGCCCGCCCTCTGCATGGACGCAGTGCCTGGCGCCTGGCTCCCTTGCCTGAACCGTGAACCTAGGCAGTGCCAAGCCACGCCCCATCTGCCATCCACCAGGCCTCGCGGGTCCCTGGAATGGCACAGGCTACACAAGCTGCCGCCAGGGCTCTGTGCTCCGCGTGTGACCTCCAGGGATCCGCCTTAAGTGCCTCTGGGCTTTACACGAGGAACCAGATGGTGGTACTCTCTTGCACCTTCCTCCGGTCAGTGATCAGCAGGGTGGCCTGAGGACCACGTCAGTTTCACCTGTGTGAGCCCCTGTCCGTGTCCCAAAGCGCAGCCGACACCGCGCCCAGGGGTCTTATGGAGCGCTCGTGCTGGGAGCCTGGCCTCCGCCTCTCTGAGCCCCCGCTGTCACCACGGCAGGCATGCTGGCCTACGTCTGGCTGGCCTCGGGGCAGTGACACCAAACAGATGCAGGCGGCCACCAAGGGCAAGGGCTTGCGGCTGGAGACTCCAAAGGCGCAGGGAGCCACGGACACAGGTGTCCGGGAACAGAGGCCCGAGGGAGGCTGCTGGGCTACCCTGAGCAGACCCTGCCTCTCCGGGGAACTTAAGTCAGCACCCCCAAGTGAGCCCCTGGAAAGAGGACCAGACTCAGGGCAGTGATGGCAGCTCGGTATCAGAGCGGCACGGAAAGCCGGAGAGAAACCTTTGAGGGACACTTTCAGTGGGGGCGCTGCCCCCACTGGGCCCTCTCAGTCCCTGGCCGCAGTCCTTCCTTGGGGCTCCTTGCCACCATTCCTCCACGGTGCAGCAAAGGGGCCCAAGGGACCCCACCCGGAGTCCGCCCTGAGTGGACACTCAGCAAAAGCAGAGGAAACTGACCTCTGAGGACTTCCAATGGCTCCACACCACCCCGCAGGGTTTAGACAGCGAGCCCAGCACCAAGGCCAGGGCCAAGGCCGCCTGGCAGCCCAGGGCTCTCCTCACGGAGCCGAGCCCTTCAGTATCAAGTGGACTCTGCCAGCCAGCGGAAGCAGCTCTTGACCTGCACCTTGGCACCTGCGGGAGAGTGCGCGGAGCCACTCACGAAAGTGAGTTAAAAAGGGGGAGGCCCAGAGAGCGGCTGCTGCCCCCTTGTGAACACACAAACGCACACTGTTCTACTCAATTGCAAATAAAGGAAAGAACATCAATATTTCCACTGGAAGCAGAGCTTCTTGTTACGGCACGGCTTTCTTCAGGTTGCTCTAACAAAGCCCTGTCTGTGACAGAATCAAGTTCGCCTATGAGCCCGAGAGCCCAAGAGGGCGTGGGGGCTGCATAGCTCACACGTAGCTCACAGTTTACACCGATCGACCTGGAGAACTCGGTGCCACTTGACCCCAACCCGCCACCTGCCGGGGAAATTCTGCACGAACCTCCGAGTCAGGACATCCGCAGTTTCCATCCCAGCAAGATCGTCTGCTCCACTGATGAGGATGCAGACAGCCACAAATGCTTTGGCTCCAACCTTGTAGGAAAGCGAACACCAGGCAGTCTGTGTGTGGGGGGAGGGGCTCCGCGGCCGCTTTGCCCTCCTCCCAGGCCAGCAGCTCTGCAGGGAGCCATGCTGTTGGGAAGAAGTCCACCCTCAAGGCTCCTTTGCACTGGGGGTACTGGCCCTGGGGCAGGACAGGACTTCAAAGAGGGCTCGGAAGCCGGGAGAACAAGGTCCCTCCATCTAATAAACAGCAAGCCTCCAGGTGAGCCCAATACACACATCAAGGCCAGAAGATTAAACCAGAAGCCTCTTCTCCCTGATGATGGGGTACAAGTCCCCAGACCACGGGGCTGCGGCTGCTGACTGCTCCTAGTAGGAGGGGGCAGTCAGCATGAGGGAGGCTCTGCACACAGCCTCATCGCTGGCTTTTCAGGACCCGCAGCTCAGGACCCCTGCTGGCGAGGGACCCCAGGTGACCTGAGCAGGAGCCGCAGGGACTCTTACCCCAGGACAGGGTGAGCTGAGCTCAGCCCCGAGGGCAAGCGGAGGTGAGGACGTTGAGGAAATGCAAAAGCTTCATGCTATTTAAGGAAGAGCTTTCTAACAATCTGCCTTCTCCAAAAATGGAATTGGCTGACTGGAGAAGCCTGAGGGCTCCATTCCAGAAGAGCTGGGTGGCATCTGTCAGCCTGGTCCAGGGCAAGCTGGCGGGCTCAGCGAGACCCTCAGGGCCTGGGCACCTCTCGCTGGTCACTGTCAGGAAAACCCCAGCATGTGCGTGTGAGCACGGCACAGTCTCACTGGGCGGCCCTGTCTTTCCCCTTCCAAGACACTGAAGAAAAACAAGTCATCAAAGGAGTTTTGAGGTAGCCCAGAGAACTGGCCCTGCCTTAGTCTACCGCCTACCAATTTACCAGAACCCTGAAAATCTTAAAAAATTCTTAAAAAGAGAAAGAATGAGAAGGGACAAAGGAATGAAAAAAATAAGTCAGCGATGTTAGGTACATCGGTGGAGGCTGAAGTTGGACAAAATGAAAGATCACACTCTAGAAAACCTTAGTGTGTGTATATCCAGGTGCCTTCATTTCTTCGACAGTTAGTTACGCACCAGAAGCGTAAGACGCGAGTGTCTCCTTCAAGTGACATGCTTCTGCAAAGAATGAAAACTGAGGAGAAACAAAGACAGCGTTTCTAGGAGAAGAGCCAGACAGCGAGGAAAGCCGGAACTTTCAGGCTGGCCCGAGAGCCGCGCCTCCCACAAAGCCCTGCGTCACACTTCTCCCGCTGGAGCAGGAGGAAAACCCCACTTGCACCTTGAGGACGCCGCCAACGAATGGAGGCCGGAGCTGACTAGCAGCAGAGTTCAGACTAAAAACTGAAGCTGCAGAGAGAGATGCACACCGTGCGATGCCCGCCGCGTCTTCTGAACGGTATTCCCAGGTGCCCCTCACCCTCCTGCCTGAAATGAAGCACATCCTTGTGTTAGAAATAACAACAGAAACCGCGGAATTGTAGCACTGATGCTAACGCAGACTTGCCACCAATGTGAGTGATAGGTACCCGGGCAGAGTCGGCCTAAACAACCTCGCCTCGCACAGGGAGGGAGGGAGTCCCCTTCGCATGAGCCCTGAGGTGGCAGGGCCTAACTCTGCGGCCATGTTTACATGAGGGCAGAGGTCAGAGGATGGCCCACAAGGATTCCGGTCAGAGCTGGAACCCCACTGTCAGGCACTCGGGGGACAGAGGTGCAGCCCTACTGCGGTGATCAGGGGCCTCTGAGCCGGAACGGGATTAGACAAGGGAATAGGTCAGGAACCCCCAGGATTGAATGCTGGTAGCTTCACAAGGACAGAGACCAGGAGACGTGTGCACACGCATGCACACACGCTATCTCTTGCACCCAGGTGAGGCTCTGTGCCCGTAAGCAGCCATCACCAGAAGTGGCCTCTCGACCCCAGACCACGACTCAGCCAAACTAAACTTTTCTTCTTTAGAAAGTGGCCTCACCCCAGGGTTTCTTTTCTTTTCTTTTTTTTGTCTTTTTGAGACAGGGTCTCCCTATGCCGTTCAGGCTGGCCTTGAGTTCTCTTTGTAGCTCAGGCTGGTCTTGAACTTGCAGCGATCCTCCTGCCTCAGCCTCCTGAGTGCTGGGATTACAGGCGTGGGCCACCACGCCCCAGGATTTCAATGCGGTGACACAGAGTGGACTGAGACATCAGGGAAGCACAGAGGCACATGGGAGAGCCATTGTTAGGGTTGATACACTGTGTCCACTTGGGGAGTCTGGAGGTTTGGCTAAGTGACTCAGCAGGAAGCCAGGGTGCTTACTTTGTATACATCCTGAGCCTGTGGAAGAGGAGGGCATGGAGATTATGTGAGAGCTACACGCCCCTTAGGTGGGGGTAGCCTGTTTACAATGTAAGGGAGGGAAAGAGGATGCCTGCTGGGATTCCTATCCTTTTGCTCTGGCTGCTTTGTTGTTCAGCTGCCATTCCCCCCTTTGCTCTTGTTGCTTTGCTACCTTCTGCCTCGGAGCCAGCCAAGTATGGACTGAAACCTCCACAAACTGTAAGCGAAATAAAGCTTTCCTTCCTTCATTTTGGGCATTGGGTGTTTTGTCTTAGCAAGGAGAGAAAAGTAACCAAGACAGCCATGCAAGGCGGTGTCTGCTGGGGCCCCCACGGCTGCCCTTGACGTCACGGACCTGGGTGCCCCAGCCACCAGCGTAACCAGAGTGCCTGGGCCGTGGCGTGGAACACTGTCATCTCGGGGAACAGGCCCTGGGCTCCTCCGTGCCACAGGCTGCTTGAGTGCGTTTTGTGAGGGAGGAAGCACTTGGTGGAAGGACAGAGGCAGAGCTGTGGACACTCAGAGGCGGCCACTCCACGTCAGGGTCCTCGGCGTCGTAACGAGAGGAGCGGGCACAGGCGCGGGGTCCCAGCAGACGCAGGGTGCTGCCAGTCCCCGTCTTGCCCTCTCACCCCTCGCACAGCGCTTAAAGCGGACTGGGAGCAAATGCAGACACCTGGGCGGATGCCCCCCACCCCCTGCCCCAAGGCCGCGCGGCGACTCACCCAGCGTGTCCTTGAGGTTCTTCACCAGCGAGCCCTTCTTCAGGCTGTTCTTGCGCTCCACGTAGTTGGACGGCACGTAGCCTGTCCTGTTGGCCGCGTTCCGCACCCGCCACCACGTCTTGGAGTCATCCAGCAGCCACAGGCGCTCGTTCTTCTTGATGTCCAGTTCCTGGTCCTGCTGGGCGGTGTAGTCCCACTTGGCTATGACGATGGCTTCCTCTGTCATCTTTCATTGAGTCCTCTGCCAGCGAAACATTTGGAGACACTCATTAGAGGCCGCCTGACCACCTCAGCCTTGAGCAGCACAAAGCACGCGGCAGTGACAGCTCCTGGGACAACTCCGCCCCACTCTCCTCGGGGCCTGGGAAGGCGCGCCCTTGGAGTGACCTTCCTCCTGCATGCGTGCTTAGGAACAGCAGCTTCTGCAGCACGCACTGAAACCCTAACCAGCCACTGAGCCAGACACAGACTGCAGACCTGCTCCTGACCAGCTCACGACGCCCTCGCCCACTGGGCTGAGGCACGCTGGCTCCGGCTGATGGGTTCCCATGCATTTATCTCTCAGCATCCAGTCATCTTTACTATACGTTCAATCAGTACAACACACCTATACTGCTCCTATAAATTCAAATGGAAATTACGAGTGCCAGAGCAAGTGTTTTCCTGGTTTGGAATCAGTACAAACCCTGGTGAGATCTAGATGAAGTCCAGGCAGGGGTCACGTGCCAATGTGATCCTGGCTTTGACAATGCAGTGGAAGACCTCAGCATGACGCCACGCCAGCTGGGAAGCAAGGATGCTGTGTGCTGTCTTCATGCTACTTGTGTAAATGTAAAGCTACTCTTAGAAATGGGGTCCACATGGAACGCTGCACATGGGTACTTGTGACAGTCGTATTCCTCACTGCCCAAACTTGGGAGCAACCACGCCGCCCTTCAGGAGGCGGAAGGATGGCCACGCGGAGCACGGAGGCAGTGGGTGATGGGTGCTACCGCAGAGGGAGCTGCTGAGCCAGGGAAGACCCAGGGGACCTAAACGCACTCGACTGAGCGCAGGGGGCACGACTCTGAGCCGGTCGGCCTCCTCTGAACCCTCCTCCCACGGAGACCTTCACCTCGGTATCTCTGTTATCATCTCTGCACAGCCAAGTGTTAGCAAGAATCCTGCGACGTGGGTCTGGAAGGGAACCTGCCCTCACTGCTGCTTAGCTTCCTGCCTTCCATCCTGGCGCTGTCTGCCCCTCCTGCCCGGGTCACCTGCATGCCCTGGGTTGGTCTGGCAAGGCCCCTTCCCAGGTCAACTCTCGGCAATGTCCCTCCCAGCCTGGCTGCTCCATCGCACTCCTCCTTGTCCTCAGAGTTGACCGCTGCCCCTTTCTCTTCCCTCCCGCAGAAATCTGCAGCGCAGCCCCGGACAGTCCTCCTCATGGTCCCCCAGCAAGTGTCATGGGTAACGATTCCCTTGACCCGGCATGCTGCGAATCAAGGGTCAGAAAGAGGACCCGTGATTGCCAGGGGCTGGGAGGCAGAGCTGAACAGAGAGGGGAAGCGTAGAGAACTCAGACGGTAAAATTGCAGAACATCCCGGCAGTGGATATGCGCCACTGTACCCGACCAGACACAGAGCACGCGCACCGACAAGCAAACGTTAACATCAAATTACTCCACAGTAAGTTTATTAAAGCCACACACACCTAGTGAAGTCAGTCCAGGAAGCAGAGACGGGCAAACATGTCTCTAAGTCAATAGAATGCATACAGCTATCAACTATTTCAGCAACCCCAGACTCCGTACGCAGAACATAGGCCAGCGCTCCTTCAGCAGGAAAATCTGACTGCCATGCCTTCCAGGGCCTAGGAGCTTCCCCCAGGTGAGGAAGGAAGAATGAGGAAAGACACTCACGCCTTCCAGCTTGACAGGGCCCTCAGTCTGTACGGGGTGAGCGCAGGTGGCCGAGGGGGCCTGTGGAGGGGACTCCGCAGAAACCCCAGTGCCATGTAGTAATATGACGCTGGCCCGGGGATGTGGCTCAGCGGCACAGCGCCTGCCTGGCAAGCACCGAGGCCCTGAGTTCGATTTCTGGTACAAAAAAAAGACATTTCCTATGACATATGAGCGGCATTTGTAAACAGCACGTATCTCTGTCCTCCACGAATTAACTTCTGAGTCTAGAGAGAAGAAGGCACCGGAGAAGGAGCTCACGCTGTCATCTGCACAGTATGGGATGTCTGAAGCCAGGGTCTACACAGAACCCAGCTCAAAACCGGACAGTTCCATTATCGAAGCTCAGGAAGCGGCGGGTGCACACCACACAGCTGCCACGCCTGATCGTGACGTCAGGTTAGGCCTTGGACAGCCACAGAGGTGGGCAGCCCTGCTTAAAGGAAGGACAGGCCACGGCTGGAACAACGCAGGGCTCAGAGAATATCCCAACTCAATACCCGGCTTCCTCACTCTACGATTCCCAGACCAGTCAGCGAGGCTGTCTGTTAACCTTTCTCCTTCCGGAGCAGAGTCCAGGGTGGGGATGGCCAGCAGGCCCGTTCCCACGCACACACGTCAGCTGCCGGGACAGCTGGTCCACAGCCCGTCACATGTGGGAGGTGAGTGGACCCGGGGCTCTAGCTCCATGTGCTGTCAGGTGCTGGGGCCGGGTCCGGTCACCGGGGCATGACCTGGTGCGTGGCCCTCCTGCCGCCTCCCTCCGCTCCCTGCGTCCCGGCTCCTGCCCTCCAGCACGCCGCAGCCATGCGAGGGCTGAACGTCTGCAGTGTGTGTCCAAGTCAACCTCTCCTCCTCTCAGTTGCGGGGTCTGGTCTTCTGTCTCAGCACTAGGCAAGTGAGGAGGACGGCCACCTTCGGCCAGCAGCCTCCCGCGGCTGGGGAGGAAGGCAAGTCCCTCCCGAGCTTGTGAAGAAGGCCCTGGGCATGCTGCCTGCACCAAGGACACGCAGGGCGGATGCCACATCCCAGCTGTGACGCTGCGCCTGCGAGAGGCAGAGCAGGTCCTCCTCGTGAGGGCCCCACTCGGTCCGGTCCTTCCTGCGTTCATCTGAGGGTTTTCTGGGCACTGAGTTTCCCTGCTGTCTGCTGCCTTGTGTTTCATGGCTACGTATCAGCAGCACTTCCGTACCCAGCTCCCAATGGGCGTCAGGATCGCTGTCCTGGCCCTTCTGTACTTCCCGTCGAGCCTTTAGTGCCCCTGAGCCACCTCCGGTAGCTGCTTGAGTGACACCACCTCCTATGAACTCACTGAGTCCACCAAATACACTCACCACCCTCCGGGAGCACTTCCCTACACTCCCCGAGCTGGCGCTGTGTGCCGGGCGCAGCGCCCAGGGCTGTCCACCTCTGTCTGTCTCGATGGCCACAGTGCTGACCACAGCTGGGTGGACCTCAGCCACAGGGTTTCATGGCAGCCCAAGGACTGACCAGAACCTGAGAGTCAGGTTAACACACACCGGCCTACGCTTCCACCAGCTGACCGCTTGGTCAGAGCATGGACAGCCAGGGTCACACAGGTTGGCAGAGGGGGCAATCCGCTCTGCAATGTGACTTCAGTGGAGAGAGCGACTAACTCTCGCGCATTCGGAATGCACACGCAGAAGAGCAAGGCCAGCCTCACTCTGTGCCCGGGGGACTCGAAGTGCCAGAAAGACAGGGGTGTGCACCAGCGCACACAGACACCAAACATACTCGCCCACACGCAAGTCACTGACTTAGAGTAACCAGGTGGGAGAAGGAGTGGAGACGAAATAAAAGAAGTCACACCGGCTTCGGTTTTCAACGCCCAGCCTGAATCATTCAAACAACACAACATGCTTTTCTGAGGGTCTTGGGGATTGCTTTCTTTGCACTACCTCGTGCCCTCAGGGGGAAACACCATCAACCAACTTGGAAACTGACTTGCATCTAGGGGACAGGCGGGCGGGCACGAGCCCCTGACAGACGCCCGGATCCTAAAGCAGCACCCGTGCCTCCGCTGGGTTCCGCGGCCCAGGAATGACGGCTGTTCGTCAGCCGGGAGCGGCGACGATCCTGGAGTACCCGTGCGTCACAGGGAGGACGCGGGGGCTGGGAGAGGCCGAAAGACGCCGAGCAGCCGCCAAGGGCCGGGACTCCCAGGGGCTGGAAGATGAGCAGAGACCCCGCAGCCCGAGGCGGGGCCCGCCGCCACCCCGAGTGCAGCCTTGAGAGATGTGCGTTGGGCGGGTGACCCCGGAACAGGAAGAGAAAAGCTGGGGGATGCTGTAAGCCCCCGAGTTCTTGAGCATTTCTTCCAGCAGCGACGGGGCGAACGCCGGCTCTGCGAAGCTGGGTCCACAGGAAGGGACCCCTCTGCTCTTCGGGGCTCGGGGTTTCCCTCCACGCCACTGGGCCTCCTTTTGCGTATCTCGGCACAGCGCATGAGCACGCAGGGGAGGGGCGGGGAAAGTCCGGGGAGCAGCTCCAGCACCAACCTCTTGATTAAAATTTCAAGTTGCGCCACAGATGAAAGGGCTGCCAGATGCCAGCTAACGTGACAGGAGTTGGCAGGAGCCTGTGGTTGCCTGTGGGGAAGAGCCGGGCAGCTGGCGGCATTTGAAAGCAGGACCACTCATTACAGCGCGTGCACTCCAGCTCCCGCTAGGACACAATATGGAATCTGGTGGCTGTTCCAGCTCTCAATAAGTTAATTAAGCTGTGACAAGAGTCAAGGTCTTCCCGTCTCCCTGAGACACAAAAGCGCACTACACGGAAAGGAGACATGAACAGCAGACCTTTCTCCATGCAGGGGCGCAGGGCCAGGGCCCAGTGCCACAGAACGAGTGCCCAGCAAGTGCGCGTGCTGGCCAAGGCGTGGAGACCCCGTGAGATGCGTGTCATCGCAGGCGGCGTCCACGCATGGTTTACACGAGGGCGTGAAGCGGTTCGCCCAGCTCCACACCGCGGAAAGCGCCCTGCTAGACGCGTCTTACCACCCAGTGCAGGCTCTCTCCTCCTGACTGCCCGCTGCTCTTGGCAGCAAAATTTTGCCGCATTGCTTAAAAAACAAATTCCAAGGGGAAGAGGGTCGCTGATAAACAAAAGCTGTATTTTAATTCCCTTTTGATAAATGCGTGTGTGAAATGACTACGGGAGAGACGGCAGGACACTCAGCTCTTCCCGGTATGCTCTACTAAGGGTTGTGTCTGTTTTCTAACTCTTCACTGGGGGCGGGAGCAGAGGGAGGCCAACCTGGCAGAAGGGGTAAGGGCTTCAG